CAATGGTCAACACCCCTAATAAGAAGTGCCTTTAAGCCTAAAAGTACTTTGGGGTTGATCACCCCCCACTGCTCCACATGCCCCCTCATTGGGCAGTCGTACATCCTGACCAGTGGTAGACATTTTACCTCACGAGTGGTTGGTTTCTGACTAAGGCAAGAGAGCAAGAGTCACATTCTCAAGCTGCAAAAGGGTAAATGAATCAAAAACCTAAAAGCACACCTAGCATGATGTACAATGGGAATTGCTGTACTGGATCAGCGATGGTTTGGCTTTTCCAACCCTTGTGCTGACCATGTCTGCTACAGATCACAGAAATCACAGAATCATTAGAGTTGGAAGGGACCTCTGGAGATCATCTAGTTCAATCCGCTGCCAAGGCAGGGCCACCTAGGGCATGTCACACAGGAACGTGTCCAGGCGGGTTTTGAGCATCTCCAAAGAGGGAGACTCCAAGACCCCCCAGGACAGCTTATTCCAGTGTTCTGCCACCATCAATGTAAATAAGTTCTTCCTCACGCTGAGGTTCTTCTTGTATTTTAGTTTATGGACATATCCCAGATAAACGCTCCAGAAACCAACAAAAGATAGAAGGATCACTGCAACTCCTCAATAACCTGCCTAAGAATTTCATCCTGTCAAACCTCTTTATTCAGGCTGGTTTTAGCCAAGTATATGCTATTTGCAAAGTCATACAGATTTTAGCTTAGACAAGCTGCAGCAGATAGCTCTTAGCCTGACTCACCAGGCCACAGGATAATTTGGAGGGGACCATGGGAGATCTCCAGGCCAACCTTCTGCTCCAGCAGCTTCAGCTCCAAGGGCAGACCAGGTTGCTCTGTGCTTTACCCCAGGAGCTGGGTCCTGTAAACCTCCAAGAACAGAGGTGGCACAACCTCCCCAGGCCCCTGTTCAACCACCTGACCATGCGAAAAGGTGAAAAGTTGTTTATTTCTGAATTAAGTGACCATGAAAGCAAGAGCATAATGAACATCCGTCTGTGCTCTGACTAGTACCAGAGGGCAGCAGAAAGTCTAAGCACTAATGTTTGTAGCAGAAGTCCGTCTCCACCCCCCCAGTTTATATAACAATTATACCACAGAGCACTGATTGATTTTCTTGGTTCCTCACTCTTGGATAAAGCTTCCCTAAAATCAGGACTCTAATTACGGGCTGGGATGAAAGCACCCTTGAAAACCCCCAAACATTATCTCAGTCTTCAACTACCACACAAGAAATATGTAGGCCCATGGTAAAGCCAACAGAGTTCACAAAATCAGTATGAGACATTTAAACTTCAAAGTTAAAGGTTTCTTTAAATGATCAGAACCCCATGCCTGTCTATGCTACTATTTTTCTTTTGCAAAATCAAGAAATAGCTAAAAAGGATAAGAACTTACTATGAAACCAGGCACAAGCTTGGAAACAACTCCTGTCCTCTCCTCCTGCACACAGCCTTAGGTGAACTTAACTTCACCTTCATTAGCTGCATCTCCTCCTACCACTGACACTAGGCTGGAAGAAAAAGAGCCTCCTCCTCCAGTCCCCTACCTCTCCGTGTATCTTTTGCTGCTTGGAAACTGTTCTTGCCTTAGGCCATGCAAATCACAAGATTATCTGTAACTGCATTCCTCCAGTCTGACCAGGAAGAGGTGGGGATAGCGCAATCCCCTCATCCTGGAAAAGCGCCACAAAGCCCAATCCCTCCTGCCTGGTTTGGAAATCTATCCCAGCTTTTCCCTATAGTTCAAGCTCTGCCCACAGTGCTCTGGCACCAGAATGTCCCAGTTAATGCCAGTTGTTAAGTCTCAAGAGTTAAGGATCTAGCAAGAGCAATGGAGCAGTGTGCTCTCCTCTAAGAAACACAGGTTTTGACAGTCTGCAGACTGAGGAGAAGAAGCAACATTTGAGATCAGATGTAGAAGTTACCCTTTATCATCCACAGGCATGGATATTTGCTTTTAATATTTAATTGGAAACTTAAGCACTGCAGGAATTCATGGTGCCACTACGAAAGGCACTGTAGTGTGGCCTGTGTCCTGCTATGTACTTACTTTACCCTGCCTGGTGCTAAGAGGAGACAGTGGAAGAAAAAGAAGCATGGAAGAACATTAACAAAAAAAAAAAAGCCATTTTATTGAAAATGAAATTCAAACTTCAAATTAATATTACAATCATGAGAAAATGCCAAACAATTCAATTTACAGTTGCAACATACAATACAAATAGTCCCTTTGAAGTTGAAGTAAACTGATCCACAATCATCATCTGTGGCATAAAGCAGAGTGTGTTTGTACAATATGTGCATGAGAAGCAAATCTTGGGTGACAGCATTTGAAAAAATAAAAAAATTAAAGCTTGTATTTACACAAAATGCTACAAATATTTTGTTCCAGCGGAAATTCAAGACTGGTAAAGCATATTTAACAACAACAAAAAAAACTGGAATGTCACTCATATTACCTAAAACAAAAGTTACTGTAAAAGTATGGGTTTGGCTGATATACTTAAAAGTACTGCATAAAAAAAAAAAAGCAAAGAGTTATCTGTAAACATGGAAGTAAACAAACATCTAAAAAAGATCTCAAAAATGTTAAAATGAAATGCATTCTATTCAAAAACAACAAGAAATTCAGGGGTTCAGAGAATGGGGCTTCTTTGAGCTCATGGCTGATCCAGGTTTAATTATGGCTTTTGCTCGTGGCTTGTTGGCTGCGTGCAGCCCGGCACAGGGCTAAGCTTTGCTTTGCTAAGTGTGAAAGTGCAAAATTTTCCCCACTGGAGATGGTATCTGTGGAAACCGGTAAATCTTTGCTCGGGGAACTGCTGCCCAAAAAGTTCCGTACTAAGACAGACACAGCAGCTGCTCCTTTAAAAGGAACAATAAACGCCACACAAATGATGCTGTGGGTAAAATAATTTTCTTGACTCATCCGCCCTGACCCACTGACCCCAATCTGGTTACTCTTAGGAGGAGGGAGAGGAGGATTTAATCCTCCGTTCAGCAAAAGGGACATCATGCCTGTTGTGCAGGAAGTAAATCTTTGGTAGGATAAGAGAGCTGGAAAGTAAAAAAGCGCCATTAATCTTTCAGTCTATGACCAGCGCCAAAGATTGCCACTGACCAAAGGGAAGGGCTGTTGTATCTTTAAGAAAACTTTCTGTTGATGCTAAGCACCTCACAAAACATCAAATAATCTGATGGGACTTACTACATAGTGCTAGTGGCAAGTTTTTTTGGTGTGAAAATCCCGATTCAAGAGCATTTGCAAGTGAACTCAGAAGCATTTTCTAAAAGCTTTGGTGAGCATCTCTGCCTCAACCTGTACAACTCCCTCCATGACCAGCCTGATGTACCGGTTCAGGAGCACAGGGGTCTACTGAAAGTCAAGGAGCTGGTGCTCCTCCATCCATAGGTCCTTAGAAAACCCTTTCCTTCCTATCACAAGCAAGCAGAGCCAGATGCCTGCCTGCATGGTCAGGGAAGCTGAGGGCAGGGATCAGGCTCACGCACCTCAACAGGGCAGAGAAAACATTATCAACATCTGCCCCAAATGGTCCAGTTGAAAAGCCGTGGGGACACAGTGAGTCCTGTCGGTACTGAGCAAAACAAAAGTCTGGTCTGTGCTGGATTTATCCAGAAACAAAAACCAAGTGCTTGAATTTTACAACAAAGTCTTTTTTAAAAAAAAAAAAAAAAAGAAGAAAAAAAATCTGGGTTGCTGCCTGCAGCCACTCTTAACAACATTTCAACACAAAAGCACCCTAAAAATTACTTAATATGCATACAGTAAACCTTAAAAAGCCCTTCTCAGCAATAACAAATAATGTACAAATATAGTACCTTTTTTTAAATAGGAAACAGCTTGCACTGGCAGTACATCTTTTTCTCTTGCTTACTAAACAAAAAACAAAACTGAAATGTGTAACCAGACACTGGCTTTTTAAGTGCTGCTGAGACTAACAAACGTATTTTACAGTTACAAATAAATGGACAGTGGTATGCTTCAAGCTACCACAAACCAACAATAAATAGAATCAATTACAGCTTCCATCTTTGAAGGAAAACTAAGTATTAGAAGAAAAACAAAGTGTCTTACTTATACTTAAAGCATACTTGGTATACAACCTTTAGAAGGCAAAGACTTTATTAATTTTTTTTAAGAGCACATCATCACGCAGATCGGAGGGATGTACCACACTAATGTCAACTCACTTAACAGCTTCGCTATTAACGAGCAGTGATGGTGTTGTCCAGCTCTGTATGGCTATACCCACCATTGATCTACTGAGATACTCTGGTGGTAGCCCAAGTACAGCCAAGGAGCGGTGTGGTGGCCGACAGCCCCCTGAGGAGGCTGCGGACAGCAATGGCTAAGGCAGCGGAAGGAGGCTGCGCTGGCAAACCCCATCGACATGTGCTGAGCATCCCACTAAACCAGATTTAACATCACCTGCTTGGGGATAGCCTGGGGCAGGCAGCTCAGCTCCCACCACATCCAGCTGATGCCGCGTCACCTCCCTGTTTGCTGTAGCAGCCAAGGGTTGGGAAAAATTTGGGCCCCTCCACTGTACAGTTTGGCAGCAGACAGGCTGGTTAAGGGTTTCACGCGCAATCTGCTCTCCCTGTATTGTGCCTGGGATCCCCGGGGTGGCTTATAAGGTGACTTTTTCTCTTCAGCGTTTGCAGAGGTGAGTATTGCTGCCCTTGTGCTTGTCTCTCTAATACAGCAACAGCCACATCAGCTTCAAAGTCAACACAGCATCCTTATGGTTCTAGCATTTAATGTTAATGGGTGGTGACTCACTACCAGGCAGTTTCTGTCTCAAGTTTTGAACCTTTTTATTCCATCAAATGGGCTGAAATTGCAAGGGGAGGGAAAAAGATTCACCAGTTCCCCCCTTAATCCCATTTCTGAGATACTTAACAATTCAGTATTTGTAAAATATGGGCTTTAAAACTGGTTTTAATTTTTCTTTGGGGAAAAAACCCCAACAAACTGTTGAAATTCAAATCATGCTGTCAAAATGAAGCATTCAAAATAAGAATATTTTCAAATTTTGCAGTTCTGAGAAAAAATCCTGGGAGAAGAAGAAATTAGGGGAAGGCTGGAAAATATTTCATCCTTCCTACCATTTTTCCAGTGTCTCCACAACTACTGATTAAAAGGCAAGACTGTGTTGAAGGCAACCAGAGAGCTAATAAAAATATTTCAAAACCAGTATTTCCTTCATAAGTTATAGAAAAAGATCTTACATCCAAAATCATTTGATGTGGATGCATTTGGGTTGGCTTTGTCATTTTTAAGTTGCATTGTAAACTGGTTCACACTGGGACTGCTTTTGAGAGTTGGGTAAAGGTTTGAGATTTACACCATTGCAGAAATGTAGTAAGTCAAAACAGACAAAACAAAAAGACTTTTAGAGACCGAAGTCAATATATCATTACATTAAAAAATGTTTAAAGGGTCCAAATGTCATTAAATAATTATAAATATTCTTTTAAAGTTATATGATGATTCATGTTAGCAAACAACCACAAATTTTACACATTTATAATTTAAAAAGAAAAAAATAAAAAAGAACATAGCCGAACACAAATACTATGTATACCATTTTGGCTCTAGTAATATATATTGCCATTTTCGTATTTTGCATAAGTAACAACATTTTGTTTTTTATTTTTTAATGGTTTTGGTTTTCTTTTTGGTTTTTGGCTGATCGAAGGCAAAATGAACAGATACAAAAGCAAAAAGGAAACCCCAGGGTTGTCTAGCCTAACTTGAAGACTCGTTCTCTTTAAGTACCCAAAAACAAACCAAAAAAGCAATGAACACAGAGAAGTTCCAACCACTATCTGCAGCAAGGCTTGGACCGAGCTTTTTTTTGGGACAGCTGTTTTCATCTGAATGTATCATGGCAAAATGGAAGCAACTCAAGCTTTGCTTTCCTTTTTATGTGCACCAATATAAGCCAGTTGAATTGTACTACGGGTGTGAAGAGGGTCCCATACGTTGTATGATTGCAACTGTATCTGGAGTTCATGGTTAGGTTTTTATTTGTCAAAAATAAAAGGGAATGCAGCCTTTGCCTTGCATCACCATGTTTCTCCTGACAGCCGGGGAGTCCGTTCTCTCCTCCTTGGCAAAAGTACTCACTAGTTATTACAACACTCTAGACAAAAAAAAAAAAAAAAAAAGGAGGGGATGATTTTTTTGTGTGTGTGTAAAAAGTACATTTTAAATATAAAACAAGGTAAAACGGTTCCAAGAAAAAAAGAAATATGTGCTTTGATCCACACGATCTGAAACATGGGTTGTGGTGTGTTGGTAACTCTTGTGTTATTTGTGGCCATTATCATCCCACCTACGCAGTTGCACATATTGGTAAAATCTATTTAAAAAACAAAAATAAAAACACAAAAACCAGGCACTTCGTAGTTAGTCGACCATTTGTTTGGTTTGGGGTTTTTTTGGCTCGCGGAGGTCGGGCCGGCTACAGAAGGAATCTCAGTACGGCCTCCAAACGGACTCATCCATTCTGCCACTAGAATTCAAGACGGTTGGGGAGCTGCTGTGGCTGCCATCCGCCTCCACACCGTCACTCTGGTTGGGCAAGTTAGGGTTTAACAGCGTGCTGCCGTTGGACGTGGTGGTGCATGGAGGAAGCATCCTGGAGGGGGAGCGGTCCCCTCCCGGCACCATGGGGAACTGGTATGATCCTGACGAAGTGCCATAGTAGAGATATGGAGTGCTGCTGGTCTGGAAAGGTCCACTTTGGTTTTGGGAAGAGCCGGGGTAGGGTGGTGGTAGATAGGTGTGGTAGTGAGTGGTTGCGGACATACCCAGTGACATGCCTGAGGTGACTGGCGGTGTATAGGTAAAGGTGGCTGGATAGTGCATTCGTGGGTTGGAGAAGCGGCTCTCAGTGAGGGATGAAATGCTTGTGAATTGCCTGGGATCTGAAAATGGGCCCAGCTCTGATGCACCTAAAAAATTATAACAAAAGACGGGGGAAAACAATTCTGTAAATACCATTTTTTGTATCAAGTGATGATAGAATTCTATTTTTCTAAGAAAACCCACTACTTTTGGCCCCCAAGAGAACAGCAGATCATACCAAATAATACATTGCAAGGAACAGAGTTATACATCTGTCTTCTACAAGTGCTGGGCCAAATTCATCCCTGGTCTAACTCCACCAATGCCAGTGGAGGGAGCAGCATTGCCAATCTGAAGTGTTCAAAGGTCACAAGTCAGGCTGGGGGTGGGGGGGAAATCTCAAAAATCAAGAGACTAAAAAAGAGCCAAGAGAAAGGTGGATTTGGAGTTGATCTGCTTTCTGGTTTCTGAGCTTTGAAGGTTACGTGTCTCTGCTGTTTTGCTACAACCTCGCATGAAACTCGGGTCTGGTTGCACATGAAAGCCGAGATTCCCACCTCAGCACATGCCGTTGGGAGCTGGCGCTTCAAGAAAAGCCGAAATTGCCACTCAACTTGTGATTAAACTACAAGAGCTGGCAACACCAAGTCAGCTGCACCACTGACACCAGGGGAGTTACACCAGGGATGATGAAGACCCACTTCTTGCCTGAAATCAATTTATTTCTGGGAGAATCGGCTCAGCTACTTCCTATGGCTGAAAAATATTTGTTGTATCTGGAGGATGGGCAAGGCCAGTGAGCTGATAGCAAGGATGCAAGTTTTACTTTTCAGTGCAGTCGAAAGAAAATTACAAGCCCAACACTTTTTGCCATTGAAAAAAGTTGTTTTCACATGCTGTCTGTGCAGTCTGGTCGAAAAAAAGACCACACAGTTTATGGCTACTGTGAATGTCTGGATGGTAACGCTGTGAATTGAAGTCTAACAAAAAACAGGGATGGGTAAACTCATTTTGCCTAATTTTTAATCCCACATCAAACACCCAAAGTTTTGGAGCAGAACTGGAAAGCAAACGTTAGCAGCTTGGTGATCTGTTTAGGAGACTGTGGGATGGACAGAAGCAGAAGAGAAAGATGGAGAAAGCTTGTGTTGAGAGAGCCAGAAAAGTGGAAAACAAAACGTGTGTGGGAAAAAGGACGGGGGGGACGGGGAGGGGGAATATGTGAAGAAGGAGAGGGAATAGAGAGAGAAAAAGCCTAATAATGAAGTACAGTGCAGGAGGCAGATGCATCAGCCAGTATTTAGCATATACATATATATATATTTATAGAGAGTTGTGAAGAACAGGGTATAAATAAAGAGGAAAAATCATGAAATCAAATGGACTCTCCCTGCACTTCCCAGCTGATGCTTCTACAGCTTCTACATGCTGAACACTGAAACAATCCGTATACCCTGAACATAAGACGAAGTAATGCTTTTCCTTGCAGGGAGGCTTTGTACCTGACTTGCTGCCACTGCTCTGTAGAAAGAAGGTCTCTCCAGCCCTTCTGCCCTTGCTCTCCTACAGCATAGACAATGGTGGTTGCGACCGTAAGCCACAGACTCAAAAAACCCTGCCACCTTGTGTGACACACTTGGTGGTTTAGACCACTATTCTCTCTATCCTACCAGCCCATTTAACCCATGCTTTCAACAAAATCTAAAAGCAGCAGAGGGGCAAAGCTCAAGCATAACTAGGCTTCAGGCTGGAGAACCTGGGCCACAGCCAGCCAAGCGTCCCTATCATGCAGCCTGAAAACTGGGGATTACAATCAAAATATACTGAAGACAGAGGCTTAAATGGGCAGTAAAAGCCCATTTTTAACTTTGATGACAATATGATTACTATTATTTTTATCTGGAACTGAATCAGTGACCTACGGGTGAATGGGTCTGTCTCCACCAACAACCCCTTCAACCACAGCTCCATGGAATGTAATATAACTTGTACCTTTACAGCAAACACTACTACTTGATGCAACTTCTTTCATTCCCAACTGCAAACAATAGCCAGAGGCGATACCACCCAGATTCAAAGCTTTAATTTTGGAACACTATCCTTTATATTGTGAACAGGTCTGATATGTATCTGGAAATATAAGGTTAGAACATAATTTCCCCAGCTGCTCAAAATACTGAGTTTCAATCTGCTATGCTTATGCTGCTTTTCTTTTTTTTTTTCCTTTTATTGTTACTGCAACTCTCCCAGCATGAACAGAGTTGCTCTCAGTTTACCCTGACAGAAGCTAAACAAGACCTTCATAATCAAAGGTAGAGCTGGTAGGAGTGTAAGGGTGTAGAAGAACATCAGCATATTTGATTTCTTTGCAATCAATAGCTTTTTTTTTTTTTTTCTTAATAACAAACTATGCACACAGGTTACACATTAAAGGGCAATCTCCCTTTCAGGGCTAAATCCAAATATTACCTGTATGGGGCGCTGCCAAGAGAACACGTATGTGTTCAATGACTGGGAATGTGCACACCACACGTAGGCATTTCTAATGTGGGGCTACAGACCTCCTTACATCCCCTAGTAAATCCACACTTGTTTTTACTGTTGCTTGTAAAGCACAATCCTATTTACCCAAAGGCCAAATAACCATAACCGTTTCTTATCTCACTCATGGCTGTGTCTGCATGGCTCCTGCACACTCACTTCTCCACCCCCACTTTTGCCCAAATGCCTTTTGCTATCTCCCCAGCTCCCTGCACAAGCCGCTATTTGTTCACAGCATTCCATATCTCCATTACATAAAGATATTTTTGGAGATCAGGATTTTTCTGTGTTGCCTGCTTTAAAGTCTCCTTTCTAAGTAACTTAATGAAAAATCACCTCTAAATGTCAGCTTCTTTCCGAGCTCACCACTACACAATCTCACTGATGCATTTTCCTTTTCCTCCGTGTTACCTCCTGCATTAAAGCTGATTTTGGTTCTAACTTGGAAACACCAGAGGCATACGCATTTGTATACATTTAGCTCTTTGCTGGACTGGGAAAATAAATAGCTTTTCTGGGTACAGCACCCATCTTTGTATATCTAGGTGTACACAAATAGTGATGTTGATCAGCAATACAGCAACATGACAGTACAAGTAAATAATTTATTTATTCCTCTCCCCAGCAGGATTAAAGATTTATGTTAATTTCCCCCCCCGTCAGAGCAAGAAAACAATTTGCATCTGTGAATTCCCACTCTCGTGATAGCTTGTATTAAATGGGTGAAGCACAGATCCTCTGCCCTACATTGTGGCCGCAAGATTGTGAAACCAAACCTCTGTGAAGAAACTTTATTTTCTGCCATCAGAAAGAGAAACACGGCTACCAGCACAGCAAGTGATCTTTTCCAACAGTCTGATCAGCTAACAGTGCCTGACAATACCAAAAAACAAAGCAAATTTTTTCAAAATCCCTTTACTTATGAAAGAGTCCAGGTTAAATTGTTTTTAATTCTTCCAAGCTGATTCCTCTCTATCTCCAACACAACCTGGCACTCTAGTTTCCTGAGAGCTATACGTTTAGAACAGAAAAGTGGTCATGTTAATATCCAATATATATGCTAACATCCTAGATTCAAGAATACTGCTCCAGTGTGTTTCATATTTAGCATAAGAACAATTAAAATTCCATGTGGTTTCACTTATTTTGATGCAGAAGCCTCATTAAAAACTCTAGACTTGGGCATTTGCCAGCAGCCGACTAAAATGGTTTTGCATTCATGCTTAAAAAACAATTTTACCTGTTGCAGCTTTGCAGCTCCACCATTTACAGCTGGATGTACACCCTGGCTATTTCTCTTTTTCATTTTACAGATGCTAGCTAATGCCAGTTAATGTTCACTTCTCAATTAATAAGCTGTGCTTGTGGTTTGCAGAAAATAAGGCAACAAATTTCTGCCAGGTTTACAGCACTTTGGCCAATCACTTCCAGTTATTAAAGATCATAACGTACCGTGGATAGATTAACTCCTTGTGAGCATAGCAAGCTGACATCTACTTTAAAGAGTTATAGGATAATTTTATAACTTACAAATACAGCAATTTGCTTTGTCATTTTATGCTGCAAGGTCACTGCCCAAAAAACATGTTCCCTTGGCTAACTGTATAGGTCTGACAGGAAATTTTAGCGCATCAAGTCCATGCAAAATCATCGGATGCAAGGAAAAAGAGTAGGGCTATATTCAAGTCACTGAAAAGTCTGTCTCAAGGAAATTCAACTACGTATGGTTAAATACATTTACCTAAATGATTCACTTGTGTTTTGGAGAACTTCAGTGTTAAGACGTTTGCTGAAGTAAGTACTAGATTTTGTGGGGGTTTGTTCAACAGCTTGATTCAGGCTGGAACGTAGCACTAATTGATCTATTAAAACTCTTTTTTTCCTTCCCTACAAGCTACGTCTATGAATTATATGTGCAGCTTGGATTACTTACAGCTGATAACATCGCCTCGTATGAAGTATGCCACACACTTCACATGATGAGACGATTTCAAGTCTCTTACAGCTTTGCCAGACTTTAAATGTTCTGGCTGAAATTGTCCATGCTGGGCGTCTGTCTCAGGCTAAATTGTGATTTATGCATTTATTTGTTTTTAAAATTTCAGCTGAAACTCTTCTGCTGGGAAAAATATATTGTTTTACTAATCTTAAACTTGGAGGAGCCTTCCTTTGAAAAGCTGTACCAGTTCCATGCTTTGAAGTGAGAACTTGAACTTTGGAATAGGAGTGGCTTTTTGTGTGAAGAGATGTTGCCATGAAAATGCAGCCAAATATGAACAATTCTTAAGGATTCTGACTAAAAATGGGCAGAAGAGTCTGTGCCCCTACAAAGACACTTGTCCAGAGACTGGAATGAAATCCAGGAGTCCCAAGTCCTGGATTTTTTCTGCAAATATTGCTGAAATAAGGGGACATTCCCACCCATCCCTGTGCCAGTCCTGATAGGGAATCAGTCCATTGATGGCTCCATTCACTGGAGTGGCAGAAGTCCGAGTAGAAGGAGTCCACGTGAATGTTTGTGTGATATTGCAAAGGAAAAATTTGGGAAGGCGGGGTGACTTGGGGT